CTTGCTTCTCTGTGTGTACTCCTATAGTGAAGAGGAAGCCCTGGTCTCTCTTCTTACATCATGGCGGCCCATCCTTAGGACCTCACCTAAACCCAATTACCTCCCAAATACTATAAACTGTGGCCAGGACTTTGACATATCAATATGGTAGGGACACAAACCTTCATTCCACAGCAAGTGGCCAAGGGTGGGTGAACAGGAGCCTCCTAAGGAACGGTATTGAGAAGTGGTGTGATTATCTCTTGCTTGGTCACATCCAGCCCCGGACACAACATTCAGTCTTATCCCATGATCCAATGGGTTGCCCAGGAGCCTCCTGGCAGTTCTTAAACTGGTTTTGCTTGGGTTCTTTCTCACAACTGTGGTCAGCTGGCAGCTGGGACGACCACTGAGGTGAATGTGTAGGCTTCAGTTTCCGAAGGCCACCAGGCCTCTCTCCATACAATGGCACGCTCTCTGAGGCCTTTCTACAACAAGAAAAATCAGACTTCCTCCATGGTGGCTCAAGGCATGGCCAAAGGTTCCAGGCTGTCTCAATGCATGGGCTCAGAAATCCAGAAACATCACTTTCTTCAAATTCTGTTGGTCAAAGCAGTCATGGGTCAAACCTGGAGGCAGAGGCAGAGGCTATATGAACATGAGAGGGGTATTAACCTTAGACGCTCACAAGGAAGAGAAGAGAAGGCGCAGGAGAAGGCTTGGCCGGACCATGCCCCAGAGGAGACTGAGTCAGGAAACAATCCTGACTTCTGGGATGTCGGTTGTGAAAGAGGGTTGTGTAAGATTTTGGAGTCAGGCTGAGAGCCAGAGACGCTCAGTAAGACATTCATTTCCTTTCTAAAGTCCCACATGTGTTTTTAATAATATTTTCCTCAGAATACAGGGAAGGCCCGCTTTAAAGCATTTGAAGGAAAGGCAGAGAAAAAGCCTCACTCAGCTATGGCCAAGGAAGCCTCATGACCACCTGTAACAGCGCCTTATTTAAGCAAAATGTGTTGATTATTTTTAGCATAACTTAAGCCCTAGGAGACTAATGAGGTGTTAACAGTATGTGTTAATTATGTGATTTTTGTTGTCTTCATTAAAGTGAAGATTCTCAGTCCCATTTGCCACCTGAAATCCCAGCGGAGCCCCATTACTCTCTGACCCCTAAACCTTTTAGTTCCCCACCGTTCACGCAATCACGTAAACATATTTTGTTTCCCCTGCAGAGAATCCGATGAGCTCGCTCCTGAGCTCGGGAGACCTTGGGCTCCCCCTCGTTCATTCTTATCCATCTTTAATCTCCAGTATCAGTTGTCGGATCTTACGGGAAGTTCGTGGCACAGGAAGATAGCAACATGAGCTCATTTTTGATTATTTAGAACGGACTGTCCTTCACTCCGCAGAAAACTGCCAGAGAAGCTGAAAACCAGGAAGAAGGAAAAGCACGAAAATCAGCTTTCATTGCTTCTCGCCAGCGTTTTAATTAACCAAGGAATTGTGTTGCATACACACGACTCTGATTATTTCAAACTTCTGCAGTATATGCTATACCTCTGTCCCGAGTGACAATGCCTCCCACCCAGAATAACCTTTCTTCAGGAAGCGGTAATCACCTAGCCCAGACTCATTCAAGGGAGCAATCAACCTCCCTTTCACGACTTTGTCTGCATTGCTGATGTTCTGGAGAAACTTCATTCGGCAATGATGCTGGGGCCTTATTGCCCGTCCGGGCGGTAATGGAGTTCAGAATTTCAGCTGAGCACATCTTAATGATGGCCCCATCAAGGTGGATGAAGTTGGAATAAAAATAGCAGGTGACTCTGACTGGCAAGTAGCACATTACGAGTTTTCCTAGTAATTAGAGTTGTCTCTAAATGGAAAAAGGCTGTCGCAGGAGGGGGTGAGCTCCCTGTCAAGGAGTGAGGGACATTCAAGTAGGGTTCCTTGTCAGGTGGGGTTAGACTCCACAATCTTCGGGGGCTCTTCTTTCTTCCAGTGAATATGATGGTGCTAAGCCCACGCAGACCAGCAGTCTTGACTTGGGTAACTTGCAAGCTGGGTTCCATGACGGAGTGTGATCAATGGGAAATCAGACAGGCCTGGGTTCAAATCCCTGCTCAGACACTAACTAGCACTATGTGACCATAAGTGGTTTTTAAAAATTCTCTGTACCCCCATAAATGTGGACTGCAATATATTGTTTCTAGGGCTCTTGTAAGAGTTAGGAATAATGCATTTAAAATGCGAGGCCCAAGGTAAGCACTCAGTAAATCATAGCTCTGGTTACCCTTAGGTGTCTAATTCTTTTCCCTTTTTATTCACTGCCATTTTGATGGTACAGTCTTGGGCTGTGAAAAGAAGAGAGGGCTTATAAAGATACAGAGGCAAGTTTACACCTTGTACTGAACCAGGGAACGAAGCGGGCGGAGCACAGCTTCATAAGGAACTAGGTAGCGTCTCCTGAGGAGGCGGAAGCTCACCTGGACAGCGCTGCCCCTTACTGGGGAAGACGTCAGCTCTGCTGATTGTCTCCGGTGAGCTGGGCCTGTGCCCTGTTACCCTATTGCTCTGCACTGCGGTCATATCAAGTCTGAGAGGGAGCTCTGATGGTCCCCATTTTGCAGCGGAGAAAACGGAGGTTCAAGGGTTACGTGCCAACCTAATGCTCTGTGGCCACCGCCCACATGTCCCTCACCCACTCTGCCACCAAGTCCCAGCATTTTGCTGCATCCTCCTCTTGAGGGGCAGAGGACACCCCAGAGGGCGGGAGGATCTTTCCGAATGCCCGATGAGTCCCTGGGAGACCCTCCCACCCTCTGGGACGTGCTGATGAAGGCCAACTAGTGAGAGAGCCTGGAGAGCCAGGGTTCGAGAACGGAGCTACAGCCTCAGTGAGTGGATTCTGAGTGAACGGTAAACTGCTGCTAACGCATTCTCGACACGTACCTTGGTATTGAGGGGATGGGTGTGTTTGCTAGATCTACAGATTCCCTCTTGTCCACATGGTTCAAAACTCTAAAACGGTTTACAGGGAAAAGTCTCCCCTGTTCCTTGTGTTCCAGGGACCCAGTTCTCCTCCCTAGAGACACCTTACCAATTTCCATCTCTGTCTTGCCAGAGGTATTTGTTTAGGAAACTGAGATGAAGTGCCCACAACGTACAATCAGCCTTTTTATGAAGTTTATTTATTTATTGTCTTCATGTGAGAGAGAGAGAAAGAATAGCACCCTCAACTGGGTTTTCACGCTGCAATCCACCTGCCAGCCCTGCAGCCGGCCAGGATCACAGGGAGACCCAGACACAAGCCAGGAGCCTTCCCCCCGGGCCTCCCAGGTCGCCCAGAGACACCCCTCCTGCCTGCAGCTCCACAGCTGGGCCACGGTTTGCCATTGCCGAGTGTATGGTTCCTTGGCCTTCAGCCAGCTCTCCCCAGTTTCAGAACTTTTTCATCACCCCAGGATAAAAGCACAAAGCCCACAATGACCCATTAAGTAATCACTCCCCACTCACTTTCCCCCCACTCCCTGGTGACTACTAAGGAGCGTTTGGTCGGTGCAGATGCGCCTATTCAGGATATCGCGTATTAGAAAGGACTCATATGGTATGTAAACTGCAGTGTCTGGCTTCTTTCCTAACACGGTGCTTCTGAGGGTCGTACAAGTTTTACTGTGCACCCACACACCATTCCTTTTCATGGCCAAACAATTGTAGTACGCTCATACCACACACTCCATCATCCACTCAGCCCTTGGTGGGCATTCGGGACGCTCACCTACTGGCTGCTATGAACATGCTTCTATAGACGCTTGTGTCCAGACACGCGTTTGGACACACATCTTATCCCTCTCGGGTAGACATCTGCAGTGGAATAGCCGGTAAGTCCATGCTGAAATATCGCAGAACAAGTGGGGTTCATGGGCGTCCTTTCCCCGTGTGTGCACAGCTGCCAGGGTACTGTGCGCATGGTACCGCTCTTGGACTTAGTTCTTGACAGTGGGCTGTCGAGACTTCTCGTTGGTGTGCTAGTGAGTGTCTAGCAACCAGTTCTCGTGAGATGGGGGGTGACTGATTCGTAGCACTTAAAGACGTCCATGGTCTAATTACTACCCTGGTCGGTTTCAAGCCATGCAAGGCCACTGACCGCAAAGTCAAGGAGAGACGCTGACCGTGTGCCCTTGCGGGCGGTCTGACACCCTCGTGGAATACTCTATGCCAGGGCACAGCACGGCCGCTCTCCTTTTCACGACTACATAACGTGCCATCTTAGGATGCACGATAGCCTTTTAGCCACTCGCTGATAGAAGACCCTTAGGTAGTACCCAGCCTTTTACGTCCACAAGCCAGGCTTACTGGATGACCTTATTATCCGTAATTTCCCTCGTGTGTAAACAGAGCAGAGGCATGACCTCGTAAGAATCACCATGGGAGGAAATTCTTAAAAGGCAATTTATTACTTCTTTGGACAGTTATGGCTGTTAGGAAGAATTCTACGCAGCAGAATTAATCTCTTTTTGCCCCAGTTTCCTTGTGAGTAAATGGATGCAAATTAGCCACTTGCCAGCATCAAAGAATTGTTGTAAAACTTTGAAATGAAAGGGAGAAGCACGTTTTCCTTCTTCAAGATAGGAGCTCGTGCAAATATAAAGCAACATGGTTCACACTTGCTGATGTAAAGCGCTTTCACGAACAGGTTGTTGGGGCAGAAAATAATCCATTCCCGGAACATTCTGATCTCACTCCAGTGTCTTGGGAAGGTGAGAGTCACAGCAGAGAGATCCGATCAGCTGGTTAGGAGACAGGAGGGGAAGTTTCAGCTGGTTCTCACTCAGGTCCCTCCACCGAGCAACTGTAAGACGATGTTTCTCTACTTCGTCTGGAAGCTTTGCAAATCTGGATGCCTCAGCCACAGCCCAGACTAATCAAACCAGCCTCTCTGGAGGTGGGGACCCAGGCACCTGCATTTTCTTTTCTTTTAGGTTTTTGCCATAGGGTAGTGTGCCTCCCAGAGAGAGAGACAAAGAGTCGCAGTGAGAGGGAAAGTGAGAAATCACCTCCCGGGAGTATGACCACACAGCAATCTCTTCTCCATTCTCCTCCTGGGATTTTGGGCACACATGCCTGGAGGGGTTTTCAAGCCACCAGGTCAGGGACTCGAACCACAGTCGGCCCTGTGAAAGTCCAGCACATTAACCACTATACCACCTGATGGCCCCTAGGCGCCTGCGTTTTCTAAAGCTCCTGTGATCATTCCACTGTTCAATCAAGATGAAGAATGAAATAAAAGGGGGGGATCAAATTAAGGAGATAGAGAAACACATTTTGTCGGTATTTTCCAGACAATCACCCCATGGCACATGCGTGTATATAAAGAGATTTTTGGTAAGGAACTGTCTTACACCATGTAGGGGTTGGCAAGTCCAAGTCTACAGGCCACCCCAACCCCAGTGTACAAACATACACTTTCTTTCCTGAAGACGAAAAAGCAGCCCCAGCAGCCACTACCACCTCTGCTGCCCAGCCCGGCGGCCCCGTCTGCAGCATGCATGCAAGAAGCCACATGGCCACTGTGAATTCAGACCCCAGGCTGGTCTGAAAACTTACCGGGCTTGTGAAGGCACCCAAGATCCCGAGGCACAGGGAACTGTGGGAAGGGGATTGCAGCAAGACGAAACCCTGTTGAGAGTGCTTCTCCCTGTTTCTCCCTCTCTCTCTCTCATCCATGCATACACACACACATACACACACACGCTATCATACAAAAACAATAACAACATGCTAAGAGGACTAGCTGTCTGGAGACCCAGCTAGAGGCAATGCTGCAGTTCAAATCCAGAGAAAGCGAGAAATCACCCCAGCCATGCCACAATCCCTTCTCTTCCATTCTCCTCCTGGGACTTTGGGCTGTTACGCCAAGTTAGCATAATCACCACCATGTTAGGGAATGCTGGGGCAAGTTAGCTTAATTGCTACCCTGTTAAGTCTTCAAGGACGAAGCCCACTTTGTTAGGGCCTCAAGGACAGAAATCAGGAGTCTGGGAACTCTCAGGTAAGTGGAAAATGGGAGGGTCCAGCACCTCTGAGGCAAGGTCATCCAGACCCTTAGCGGAGAGCCCTTATCTAGACCTGAGCAGGTGGTGATAGCTGGACCCTCGTTTCTCATACCCCCTCTCTTCTCATACCCCCTCCCTTGTATGTGTTACATTCTATGAAAAATCCTGAACTATAAAAGATCCCTTTATCTTAGGCTCGGTGTCCTTGTTAAGGCCCGCTACGACAGTCAGAAACTTGGACCCCAGCTAGCTGGAAAAATAAAAGCCTCTTTTGCAGTTGCATTGTCGTTGTCTTTTCTGCGTCTCCTTCAGTTAGACTGATCTCTGGACCCTTACATTGGGGGCTCGTCCAGGATAGGTCAACCTGGTGGCCACCAGATTAGACGCGACAAAGGGAGGCTCTGCATTCTGCCGCAGAAGGAGGATTGATCTCCTCCATCTGGGACTTGCAAGGGGCTAAAGAGCCTGTCTCAGACCTGTCTTGCTCTGGAAAGGAGAGTTGGCCACCTCCGTTTGAGACTTGCAGGGGGCCTTGGAGCCTGTTCCCAAACCTGTCTGATTCTGGTAGAGAATTCTCTGTGGAGGAACCAGGTTAGCCACCCGGGAGGCTCCACCTGAAGTCAAGGGAGACGTCCCTGACAACCAGGAGATCAATAAGCGTCGTCCGCATTGGACGCCGTTTGGTCTAGCATTTGGTAAGGATCCTATACGGACTGGTGTGAATCCAGTGTATGTGGTGGAACTGACCGGCCGGTGTGTGTGGT